AGGACAAAAAATTCAGCTAACAGGAGAGGTAAATTATTTCGGGATTATACTAGACTTGGAACTTATCTGGAACCAGGAATTAGAAAAAAAAATTATACTTGATATGACTGTCAGACGCATATGGGAAGAAATGGGATTAAGACCGGACATGGTGCACTGGGTGTACGACAGGGTGATGAAACCTTCAATTACCCGTGCAGCGACGATGTGATGGACTAAGACACTTCAAACAAGCAGGGTGAAAATACTTTCGTGTCTTGGAACGTGATGCGATGTGCATCACTCCAACATCAGCTATGGAAGCTCTACTAGACCTAAGATGATACAAGAAGAGGCAACAGGCAAGGAGGTCTACATAATAAAACAATAAAGGGTATGAGTAAGGACATCTTTAATATGGAATCGGATCACAACAAAAAAAGCCTTGCTTTGAGGAAGAATTGCACCGTTTACCGGCGGTGATTTATACGATACTGCAATGTGTAAGGGGAAATAATAAGAGAAACTTAACAAACGAGTAGATCTATATATTGTTAGACAGTCGAGCGGCACTGGCGTGTCAGGAAGTGACGTCCAGACTTGTGTGGAATTGCATCAGAGAACTGAGTAAACGGAGAGACCGCAACAAGGTTTAGCTTTTCTGGGTACCAGGCCATTGAAGGCAACGAAAAAACAGATCAACTTGCTAAGAGAGGATCAAACTAATGAGACGGACCAACTGTAACCCTGGCGCCCTCAAATGTTGCAGTATAAAGGGCTATAGAGGACTGAATCCGAGAAAGACGTAAGCTAAATTATGAGAGAATCCCAAAACAAACACATGGGAAAATATTTATTGGTCGACCATGTACAAAACGAACAGAGGAACTGCTCCATATAGACAGGCATAAACTGAAAAAAGTCACAAGAATATTTACTGGGCATGCCCTATTAAGATAATTTCTGAATAAAATAGGTATTTACAATAGAGACCTTACCTGTAGACTCTGCGATAAGGAACCGGAAACTGCAAAAAATGTATTATGCAATTGCGAGGCGCTATACAGCAAAAGACAAAAACTATATGGGCAACCAAGAGGAGAGCCTGGCATATTTAGGACATACCAAGCAAAAGGACTGTACAATCTTATTCAGGGTGTAAAAATTGTAGACTTGGTGTAGAAAACAATAATGGGCAACACAATAAGCTTCAGGTTAAGTGGTGAAAAGAACAAAAAATTACTCAAAGTAACTGTACTTTTTTTTCTCACAACGGATAAAAAAACAACTATTACCATACACCGACGTGGCCTTGACCGAAGTGGAGGCGATCACTTATATCGGTTTAGATGTTTTCTGTAATACACTTAATAAATAATTGGAAGAAATAAATGTAATGAAGATTTCTCGAACGAAAATACTGAATTAAGTATGTTAGACCCCAATTATTAATTTTTAACGCTATTAGTGACTACTTGGTTAATTTTCATTTAATTACGAAACAATTAGTATGTCGCAGGATTCGTTTATATACATTGTTTTGTTGATTAATAGCTTCTTATTGGAGTTCTTATGAATTCTATCTTGCTCGAGGTGCCTATAACAAAATTCTTATGATTGGTTTTTTTTCTGTACCTTTAATAATGACAAAATTACACCGTAATTCTGTATTAGCACTAGTCCTAAATAATACGAATATAGTCCTGAATAAATACGAAAAGGTAAGTTAAGCAATAATTTGTTAAACTTTGTTTGTAGCTGATTTTGATTGAATAAAAATATATTCAAAAAAGCTTTAAATTGGTATTAACAATGTGTATTATTATTCACAATATTGAATTGGTTTTCACATCTATAATGTGAGAAAACGTTTTTTTACAGAAGTACATCCCTTAATAAGCAATAAATCTAAGGATAAACAAATGGTTGGCATTAAGAAAGGACCAGGACGAATGAAAAAAATTCCAAATTTTTAATAAAGTAATGGAACAGTGACTAATAAACTATTCAATTTTTCTCAACAATATATTTTGTTAGGTAATTTCACAAACGTTCTGTAAAAAAAGTAACAATTTTTTTGCACTCTACAGTCAAAACATTTCGGTATGTAAAACAGCACCTTAAATAATAAACTCTGTGTCACAATTCCAAAATAATGATTAATACAAAATGGACTAACAAAAAGGAACTACAATTATAGTCAAATATTAGTAACATTTGATAAATATACAGGGTGTCTCATTTGAAAAGAAAATTTTAAATGCAAAGGTTTATCAAATTTATATATTTTGTTTAGTCTATCGTTAACGGAACTTTCTAGTGACGAAGACGAAGTAACCCAAAAACACGGTTTTGGAAAAAGATGGAACTCTAATATTATCAACACTATATTAGTGAGGCTTTTAAACTACAAGAGAATAGAAACAGAGCGGCAGCGTATGACGTGAGATACTACAAGTAATTATTTCACGAAAAATCCCCTTCCTAAATAAAAAGGTATATTTCCGTGCTGAGAAAATTGTAATACATATTCGATTTGAAATTTTTTACGATTATATTTAATCAGACTTTTAAAAAGGGCATGAGATTGAAAAGAAAGAAATCGTATTAAAAACTTTGTGAGAGCATAACATAGGACAGAAGTTGTTCTTTTTCGTTGTTAGTTACCTATTAGGAAACAGTAGCCGAATAACAAATTCACTAAGTTGAAAAATTTATCAATAACCAGTTGCTGAATTGATAATTTCTAAATGTTACAGATTTACCTTGTTTATAGATTACAAATGTATCTAAATGTGAAATGTGTTAGTAAATGTTTATGTAAGACAGCAATTACACTTTTATACTTAATAAATGGCATATATAAATAACGTGTGCACTTATTATTCCACAAATGTATACACCACGAAATTATCTCATTGTTTTCTTTTTGAATATTTATCTCTATGGTTTTTTTTCGGAAGCCGTCTATTATAAACTGGTCGTACGTCAACCAATTGGCGTATACACCTTCCATTTATTCATGATACCCATTCCAGAATTCTGGAAGCCTGTACCAAACGTGTACAGGTCTAGTGGATGAGTACCATATATTTTTAGAGTCACCTGGAAGTCTCCAAAAAATACTAGCCGGCTGTGATCTAGTGCCTCACAATAATGTAAATTTTTGTTTGATTGATTCAGGTTCTTTGCCACAGAGCGCTTAAGTCTACATAAAACAGTCTGTATATGTAGGTGTCCCTTGACTGGCTCATGTCACGTAAGGAAGCCTGCTCTGAAATGATTCCTGCTTGTTTTCACAGTAATTCAGCTTTATTCGCGCATGTGCGCCCAGTATGCATTTGATGTGCTTGACCGTTATACTTTCCCAATGGGAGATATGTTGTTTTCCGATTCAGGTGTTTTTCGGTGGCAGACAATGACTTTTAGCACTCCAAAGGTCAACTCTAGACCGAAATATTTTATAGCTGATCCTCTTCAAGCAATTTAATCAGCTTTTTCGTTGCTGTGCATTTCCCGATGAGCCCCCGTTCAGTGTGGCATGGACGCCAGTCTATGGAATCCTTCTCTGCATTTCCACACTAGCCTATACCTTATTTCATTAAGCGATGCAGGGCATATAAACAACGATAAATTTAACAGATAATTGTTAAATATGTTCCAAATGAGTCTACTCGTTCCGATAAGTAACAGTATAATTATTACACTTTATTATTTTTTTTCTTTTCTCAAATATTCGTGTTTATTGCATAGTAAATAAATTAATAGTACTGAAACCATTGAATACATAGTAAGTGAAAAAATAATCCGATTTATAAAATTAATGAATATTTTATGAATAAATGCAAGTAACAGTTCTTCAAAAATATTTAAAAACTAACCGAAATATCTTTTCGGCTGCCGACGTTTTCGGCAGCTCATACCGGTTGGGACACGATTTAATGTTTACATCTTCCTGCATCGCTTAATGAATTTTACTATAACTTCGACGGTTAGTAATGGTTCTATTAGTATGCCTATAAAAACGAAGTAAAATACATAAAAAATCAACGGCAATCAATTCTAGTTTAAAATAAAAGGTAAAAGGAAAGGCGAAAACGTACTCGCTCTTAAAAAATAGCTAAAAATGTAAGTCACTGAGAAAACGAATATACACTCGAGATATAAATAATATGTTTAATTCTTGAGATTATATGAAGTTAAACAGGCATAAACTGAAATAAAAAATCCAACCTGTACGTCTAAAGAGCCAACGTAGATTTTTAAAAGACTGCTGTAAAATATGGTAAAACAAGTATAACTTGGTTGTAAAAACTTGCACAAGAGATTAAACAATGACAAAAACGTATTTCTCTGATATTAAGGAACATCTTACAGAAATTGTAAGGGGACCGTCGAATAATAAATGCGACCATTTACAGAAAGTCGCACTAAACAAAATATAGTTTTCAGTTAACTATAACTATTTTATATAAAGGCAAAGATACTTTTAACCACTAATATTTGATTAAACTGTTAATCGATTTTCATACTATGGAGAATATTATCATGTATTCTAAAGTGTTCTATTGAATAAGTATTTTATAGAATACCATTCCCAAGTAATGTTTAATATTGAGTTAGTGTTAATTAAGCGATCCACTAAACGTCACTATTAACTTATAAGGATCTTAGCAAAGCCATATTTATTTTGGATTTTACATAGTTTTTCTATATTGGAGATATGACACAATTTACTTTAACGCTTACTCAGATTAAATAACAATATTATTTATATGTAAATGACAAATACTTATTTGTATTAAACAAAATATTTTCTCAAGTATGTTATAAACACTTTAAATACTGTACCTAAAGTTGGACACCCTGCATTTACACTAAAAGTATTTGAAAATAAATGAGAAAAAACAAATTAAAAGATGCGCCTAACTTGATAAAACTTTAATTGGTAATAGTCGCAACAATGAATTTATGACTAAGATTCATATTATATAAAATGTCTATCCGATCAATATACCAACCCCGAGTCTGAATTGATTTTTATTATGGTTCATTAACCCACTAAGAGCTAACGTGAATGGTAGAGGAGTTAATTTCTTTTCTAGAACTGCGCCCACCGACCAATTTGAATCGATGTGACCTGAAATAAAAATGGTATGTATAAATATGTTAAATAATAATAAAATACATGTATTATATATGTTATTATCAAACACCGATTTCGGCCATAGGTCGAAAAATAGCCAAAACACTTTCTGGTCACCAGCATATTGCCCATGTCCGACGTATGTACGTAACGGACTTTAGACCAAAACGCGTCTGGCATTCGTCATATTGCCAAAACGAGCAGACAAACAAAAGGTCCTAAAACTGATTTTATGTGAGCCTCAGTTTACAAACTACACCTATAATTTATTAGACATATTTTTTTCGGTGCCCCTATGATTTTACAAAGAAAGGTAATTTGCCAACCGTATCGTAAGACATTTTAAAAAAATTGTTACGATGTGATTGACAACCTCTTTTATTGGGAATAAGCCACAATTTAAGTTTAAAATAAGTTTATTTTTTACGTTTAGATTTCCACATCGGAAAGCGTTCTCAAAATAAACAACATTTTGTTAAAGAGGCTAAAGGTGTAATGGAAAAGCAGGACGAGAAAATGATTGCCCATTAGAAATAAAAGTTACCCACCGTTGATGTAACAAGAACTGTTATTTTACGAGTACCTGATGGATTTAGAGGTAGACTTGCCCCGAGAAATAAGTAACTTTTTTATCTAGTTGATTTTTCTACAAGTCTAATTTCCATAGATAGGAAGCCATATTAATTTTTGTTTTTCTTTTCGCATTAGTCGAGAGCTATCTGTCAAATGTTGTTTTTTTTTTAATTTCTTTGGTGTCTATAATAATAAAGTTAACTTTCCTTCCCCCTTTTTTTTTTAAATTGTGTACTAAGCTATTATTAAAACAACCTACTTTTTTTCTGGCTTCACATATCATATAATATTGTTTTCTCGTTAACATACAATGACATTTTTGTGACTTTTTAATGTTTGTATAAATAAAAAAACTCTTAGTGCTTTTTACTGTATTTTTATTGCGGTTTTTAAATGTATGTTCCAACACCTAAACCTATGCATTGGACACTGTTTGACATCTTTATATGACTTTACAATAATTAGAACTGAAGAAGAGCAGAAATACTCCACGAAACGTTTTCTATTAAAAGATTGAAATACTTTTTTCAGTTTTTATTTCTCCTTGACCGATATCCTCATTTACAGTGAGATTTTTATCTGACTTGCATTGTGTATTTAAATTTAGACGGTCGTACTCCTTAATATATATATATATATATATATATATATATATATATATATATTATTATATATATATATATATATATATATATATATATATATATTATATATATATATATATATATTATATATATATATATATATATATATATATATATATATGTGTCGTTCATTGTAAAAGTGGTGTAACTCCATCAAATTGAATTTGTAGATATTTTGACATTTGCAAATTGATGTACAGGAAAAAAAAAATAAAAGTCGTTATTGAGTTATTTACATTATTTATTGTTCACTACAAGACCAAGTTTCTAATCATAAGTATAAAACGAAAAAAATATATTGATTCTGTGATAAAAATAGGAAAAAAATTTTTTTTTGAGTTACTTCACTGTTATTGTGAGCTAATCGTACATAATTTCATCATCAGATGAACGTTCACTAGAATTACCGCTGTTTGACCGCGTTGGTATATCGGTAGGAAGATTTTTATAATACGAGTGATAAATCGGTGGAATATACGGTAAGAGGTCTTTCATATCTTTCTTTTTTGCGCTGGTTATGGGACGTTTTGAGGTATACAGTGGCATTTGTATAATATTGTTTAACTGAACCTCAGGTCCTTGCTTTTTTTTAGTTAAATCTACAACGTAAAATGGAGTGTCAGGATTAAGGGTTTCTTTAAATTTAAACTGTAATGGATGATTTCTTTCAAATCTTATCCATCTAATATTAAGCCAGCTGAACTCATAACCACATGTCGTTTTCTTTCTATTTGTAAAGGAATTTTCCAAGGTAACTGTACTAAAAAAATCACAGTTTTTCATTTTCGTCACGCAAAAATGTGGCTGTTTGCGTTTTGCGTTTTTTATGATGTCTATCCATTGATCTGCACTGAAAATTTGTTGTTGATGACGACTAGCGGTTTCAATGACTCCAAATTCCCCATCGTTGGGTAAAAACGAATGTCCTGACACTAAAAATTTATGGTCTATTGTGTTTATACTGAGAATAGGTTCTTGTACAAGCTTTAAAAGAGAAAGGGCCATCTTGATGTTTCTATTCTGTCCGGTACAAGAATCAGAGTACATTATGACATGGTTTTGTGTAGCTGCATGAGTTTTTAAAAGCTTTACAAGACATGATGAAATGTCTTGAGAGCCCCTTCCGCCTTCAATTTCATCCCAGACAAACATGTAGCCTACATCGTCATTGAAACAATGTATACCGAAGTTATAAACATAAAGATTTCTTTTATAGTATGCTACAGAAGTACTAAGTTTGGGGAAGGGTAAGGCTTTCTGTAGATCAAAAGTTAGATGCTTCATTAGTTCTTTTTGAATCATTTTTCAGACTTTCTCATGCTGCTTCTGCCTTTCGTTGGTGAACTTCTCTTTGTATTTCAAATCCCTTCCTAGCATTTTCATCGCCAGCTCCCTGTATCTTTAAATTAAGGTCATCACAAGTTTTGCAAGTGTCTTGGTGTGGCATTTTAAAATGTAAATTAAATTTTGTGTTGAAAACTTTATTATAATATTTTAATTTCTTAGGTTCTGTCATATTAATATCACATTTTTCTTTGTAAAGATCATACATTTTTCGTATTGTTAGTCCTGGATTTAAATACTTTCTACAGGGGTTATTTTTCCTCGTGTAATGGCTTTGATAGGAAGGAAAACTTTCGATGTGAGCTACAATGTCAGAATCATAAAGTTTTCTGGAACTTGTTGTGCCTCGTTTATCAGTACATTGGAACACATCATCCTTTGAAAGGCAACGATACAGTCTGCCATCACTGATTTGAAATGTTAAAAAATATTTCTTACATACAGATCGGGTTTCATTACTTGACTTAACAAAATATTTGAAATGAAAATTTTTTCCTGCTCGTGAACTATTTAGTGGACGTTTTCTTTTGACTGCTGATTTTTGTACCAATGCATACAGATATGAATTTTGAAGATCATAATTTTTTAAATTCCAAAAAGAGTCAAATATTTCTTTTCTTTCATCCTCTGTCAACAGCGTTAAACATCTCTTTGGACATCCACAATCAATATTTTCAAATTTTTTCTGATTTTTTAATATACCTCTTTTAGTTAACTACTCTTTACCGTTATTTCTTAACATTTTTCTTTTGTTGACTGCCCAATTTTCTTTATTGAGTGATCTTTTTCTAGCCTTAGCTGGTACAGGGTCTGCTTGAAGATTTTGCTGGTCATTATTATCATTTATATTTTCGTCATGACTTGAATCTGTACCTAAAACAAGGAGACAACACATTTAAAAGGTTGAGCAAGTATAGTTAGTTATAAAACTCAAAAAATAAACAAAATAGTTCCGTATTAGGCAATCCAGACCACGTGACCTCTGGTTGGCAAACAAAGGTTATTTTTGTGATTTTCCTAATAACTATACGTTATTTATCCTGTATGAATGTTATTCGCTTCATTTTTGGAATTTTTATTGCATGTAGTTCAATAATATGCTTAAACCAAATGCTAAGGAAATTATTATTAGAAGCACCAGATGTTGGACAAAAACAAGCAAAATAATATTTGTTTATTGTTGCTTTTCAAACAATGAATAAAACATATCTTTAAAACACTAAAAAACATTAACAAAAACAAGTAGATAAAGTTACGGACAGTTTTGTTGGTTTTGTGTGCCAACCAAATACAATGTTTAACAGGTCAATGGATTGCCTAATTCTTATTAATAACTTATATTTTAAGGTTATAAAAATAACTAAATGAACAACAACGAAACTTACCGGAAGTACTAATATATTTCTTCATTTGAAGGGTGATATTCGGAATCAGAATTACTAAAATCATCTGTATCCATCATAATATGCTATTATAATTCGTTTTGAAACAGTAAACATAAATTAATCAACGAAATGATACAATATGTAACATAACCTCTTGCAATTTTGCCACAATAAAAGTGAAGTATCTCCGGACTTACTTCATTATTATTGCGACTTGGGATTTACTTCACTTTTATAATGACATATTTACAGTTTAAGCTCTCGAACAAAACTAGTAACCCCATCTACATGTTGAAGGAGTAAGTTTTGGAGATGATTCGCTTTTATATTGAAAGATTATACTAAACGTGGTTGAATGATACAATAAAACAGTAAATAACAAAATATGGAGTTACACCACTTTTACAATGAACGACACACACATATATATATATATATATATATATATATATATATATATATATATATATATATATATATATATATATATATATATATAAAGGAGTACGACCGTCTAAATTTAAATACACAATGCAAGTCAGATAAAAATCTCACTGTAAATGAGGATATCTCCTTTCAATATATAAATCTCGTCATGTTGTCTTGTCATTCCTATATCGGAATGTACCGAGTGGAAGTTCAATAATCGTGCTCTTACCTGTGTGTTGATGGCATCCACTCTTCTTTTTAATTTGTTAGATAGTGTTCCCATGGTGGACTGTAATACACAGGTAAGAGCACGATTATTGAACTTCCACATTTCCTCGGTACATTCCGATATAGCATTCATTCATCGACAAATGTCAAACATATTCATCCAACTTGAACCTCTCCTACCTTTCAACATTTTGGATCAATATGAAACTTCTCTTCTTAAAAAATATACCTTCTTTCTAAACAATTCTTTATCTCACCTCCAAACAAAATTAAATAATCTAGGGTCCACTCCTTTCAGTCGTCTACTATTTCTTAAAACTTCTATCTCTCGGACCTAAGTTCGAATTACAACCCTCCCTTAACGATTATTCCGTATGCAATTTCGTAGCTA